ACTAAAAATACAAAAAAAAAAAAAAATTAGCTGGGTGTGGTGTCGGATGCCTTTAATCCCAGCTACTTGGGAAGCTAAGGCAGGAGAATCATTTGAATCTGGGAGGCGGAGGTTGCAGTGAGCTAAGATCACACCATTGCACTGCAGCCTGGGTGACAAGAGCAAACTCTGTCTCAAAAAAAGAAAAAGAAAAGAAAAAGAAAAACAGCAATTTACCTAAAAACACAGAGACAAATATTTTTGAGAAACAAATCCCTTTTTCATTTTGTACACCAATGAAACAGTAATCCATTAAAAACACTTTCACTGTTTTCTAGGGGTCGGATATGAAGAGGAAGTAGGCAGGAGAGACCCAACGTAACCATTAATAGCCAGTACTAAATTAGAGAGGCACAGCTTTTACTAGGGGAAAAAGAAAATGGATATTTGAGTTTTCTGTTTTAGAAAAGTGGCTTGACAACAGTGTGCTTATATCTTGGAGTTTGAAACTCAAGTTCTTGAACATTATTAAGGGCTATAATCATTCATACCCACATTGACTGAATTCTTGATGGATCTGAAGTGGTTTTCACCTAAACTCTGAAATTCATTCTCCTCTTTTGAATATAACACACCCGTCTCACGAGGGGAAGCATTTCAGTCTTTCCTGCTTTGAGATTCATTATTGTTTTAGATAATGTTTTCATTTGACTTATGAGTATATAAAACATTTTATCTTAAAAAAATTTCCTCTTATTTTAGCTAGCAACATTGTTTTCATGTCCACAAAAGCTGTTTTGGTGGATTTTGGCCTAAGTGTTCAAATGACTGAAGATGTCTATTTTCCCAAGGACCTCCGAGGAACCGAGGTAATTATATTCACATGAAAATCCTTACTATTTTATTAAGAGTAAAAAGGAAAAAGTGTTCTAGAATTACCGTGGGAAAGAAGGGCAAAGAAGGGGAGGAAAACCATTGCATTCAATCATTATTATCCTTGGAACACATTTTACGAGCACTTGCTCTATGCCAAGTCCTAAGTTTAGCGCATGATTTTTCATTTTGTTTTTTGCTGTGCTATTTATAATACGTAATAGGATTTATAATATAATATGCACCTTGATATACATAATATAGAACAATTGTAAGCAAAGTAATGTCAAAATAGATCAGATTGGCCAGGTGTGGTGGCCCATGCTTATAATGCCAGTCCTTTGGGAGGCTGAGGTGGGAGGATCAGTTGAGTCCAGGACTTTGAGACCAGCTTAGGCATCAGAGCAAGACCCCATCTTTATAAAAAAAATTGGTTTGGTGTGATGGTACATGCCTGTCGTCCCAGCTGGTTGGGAGGCTGAGGCGGGAGGATTGCTTGAGCCCAGGAGCTCAAGGCTGCAGTGAGCCATGGACACTCCAGCCTGGGTAACAGAGCGAGACCTTGTTTCCAAAAAAAAAAAAAAAAAAAAAGCTCCACAAAATAGGTCATATCCACAGTTCAGCTTTATTTTGTGTGGTTTTGGTTCTGGTTTTTTTGAGACAGAGTCTTGCCCTGTTGCCCAGGCTGGAGTACAGTGGCCCACGACCTCAGCTCTCTGCAATCTCCACCTCCTGGTTTCAAGCGCTTCTTAGCCTCCTGAGTAGCTGCGATTACAGGCCTGTGCCACCACACGCAGCTAATTTTTTTTGTTTTCAGTAGAGATGGGGGTTTCACTATATTGGCCAGGCTAGTCTTGAACTGTTGGCCTCAAGTGATCTGCTCGACTCAGCCTCCCAAAGTGCTAGGACTGTAGGTGCGAGCCCTCGTGTCTGGCCCAGAGTTCAGCTTTAATGATAATTACAGATTATAGTTAACTTTATAATAAGCTTAGACTTAAAAAGCAGTATGTTATTTAATTCTTACAACAACCCAGTTGTTGTAAATGCTATTACTGTAAGCAGATACTATTGTTATTCTCATTTGACAATAAAGGAAATAAGTTTGCAGAGATTCAAGTGTCCAAAGTCACTCAGTGACAGACCCTGGACTTGAACCCAGTTCTTTCTTTCTTTTTTTTTTTTTTTGAGACAGAGTTTTGCTCTCTGTTGCCCAGGCTGAAGTGCAGTAGCGCAATCTCGGTGCACTGCAACCTCCGCCTCTCAAGTTCAAGTGATTCTCCTGCCTCAGCCTCTGAGTAGCTGGGATTATAGGCACCCGCCACCATGCCCGGCTAATTTTTGTATTTTTAGTAAAGACGGGGTTTCACCATGTTGCCTAGGCTGGTCTTGAGCACCCGACCTCAGGTGATCTGCCCGCCTTGGCTTCCCAAAGTGCTGGGATTACAGGCTTGGGCCACTGCACCCGGCCTGAACTCAGTTCTTTCTAAGTCTACGCCTAAGGTCAAACTGCTACATAACTTTTAAAAAATATAATACTACACACATTATTAAAATAAGAAATGCCAGATATAGGTGATGGGGAGGAAGGCAGCAAATCACACTGCCCTGTGTGTTACCTATGCAACAATCTTGCATGTTCTTCACATGTACCCCAAAACCTAAAATGCAATAAAAAAAAATTTACTATCTGTCCCTGCTTGCTAAAACAGAGTCATGACCACCAGGTCATGGAAATTTTTGGCATATTTTATTCATATAGTAGGTACTCAATAAATATTTGTAGAATGAAAAAAATATGTATATATATATTACTGATATAACCAATATCACTGAGTTTTGGCTCCATGACAGTCTTAATTATCATGGTCATTCATATTTATGAGGACTCTAAAAGCCTCTCTTTGAGCCTAGGAATCCTATAATAAGCCTCAAGTAGTGAGCATAAATGTGTCTTATTTAAAGATGTAAAATAGTTCTCATGTTTATCTCATCTGTGAAGCCAAAAACAACCCAGAAAAGCTTTTCTTTGCTGACTCTAAATGAGATTCTGAAAAATGCATTCACGGTCTTTCAAATAATATATGTTACATTCACATCAATAGGCTGACTAGTTAATTCAATTAGCAAGTGTCCATTGAGTATCTGCTATGTGGCAGGTTGTTGTGGGCACCGACAGGGAATCATCAGACCACGCAGTGAGGACCGTGCCTTAGTGGTACTCCAGTGGTCCCCACTCTCTGGTGGGAGGACCTACTTTAAATTACCTGAATTGTTAAAAGAGCAACCGTTTAGGGATGGGCATGGGGTTCTCACACCTATAATCTCAACCCTCTGGAAGGCCAAGGTTGGGTGTGTTTTTTTGTTTGTTTGTTTTGAGACAGAGTCTTGCTCTGTCTCCCAGGCTGCAGCGCAGTGGCATGATCTTGTCTCGTTGCAACCTCTGCCTCCCTGCTGAGCCCGGAGGGTTCGAGACAAGCCTGAGCAATATAGTGAAACTTCGTCTCTTTTGTGAAAGAAATAGAAAGAAAGAGAGAGAGAGAGAGAGAGAGGGACAGTGGGAGGGAGGGGGGAGGAAGGAAGAAAAGAAAAGGCACAACAGTTTAGTTCACAGTTGATTGTGATGAACGTAAGGTGTAAATGGGTGTAAAAGCTGCCTCCTTGGGCCCTCGTCACTACCACTACCGGGGGAAGCTTCACTGCCTGAGCCACTCAGCCCCATGCTCTTCTCTTTGCTGAAAGTGCCCATAGGAAATAGAGAGGGAGTCTTTGGCTGCACCTCTATGTCAAGGTTACCAGGTCAGTCTTGGTGTTCAATCAGATGCCAACCCTTAGCCTAGCTAGTATACGTGTTGCACTGAACTGGATTGCAGCAAAAACAAAAAAATTATCTTCCTTTCAAACCAAGATTCTTCCAGCCTAGGCAACATAGTGAGGCCCCATCACTACAAAAAGTAAAAAAAATAAAAAACAACTTTTTGTAAAAATTGCACGATAGAGCATGCCTGTAGTCCCAGCTACTTAGGAGGCTGAGGTGGAAGGATTGCTTGAGCCCAGGATGAGGCTGCAGTGAGCTGTGATTACAGCCCTGCACCCACAGCCAGGACAATAGAACAAGGCCCTGTCCTAAAAAAACAAAACAAAACAGAAACCCCAGGATTCTATAAGCCCTTTCTCAACTCTCTCGGAGCCAAGACTCTCCAGCGCAACAGAAGAAATCCTTGCTTTTGTGGATATTACTGAAGTTATTATTGAAAATACTCAAGAGAGGATTCTTGATAGCTGTTTTTGAGCAGAACAATATTCAGAAGGGAAAACTGTAGTTTTATCTTTTTTCAAGAATGCTCAGTCCCTAGATCTTAAGAATACTTTACCAAAGTGTGAGATCTAATAAGACTTAATGCTTACGATATGTTTTCTTTGGAAAATGTTTCAGCATATTTGGCATTAGTCAGGAGTTCAGATATGTAATATTCCACCACCCTTTTTCCTGGAACCAGTTTGAGAAACAAACTATTTATGGTATTAAAGATGGAAAATACTTTTCCTGGCAATGTGGTGAAGTCAAACATTTTGCAACACTGGAGAAAGAAGTGTTCCTTCTGGGGCCGTCTAGCAGAACGCTTGGATATGAGATAACATATTTCACTCCTGGGTAGCATTTGGATCAAGTTATTTTTGGCAAATGCAAATTGCTTTTTATGAAGTGTGAAACTGAGCCTTGGGGGTTATAAATATAAACTCTCTTCTAATCAACCTGCATTTACTATCTGCTTAGTAAATGAACTCTTAGCATGAACTCTACCCTCTCAACAAGTTTTTAAGTATACAATACGCTATTGTTGACTATAGGTACAATGTTGTGCCTTAATTTTTTAACTTTGTGATATACTTAGTAGCAAAGCACACACGAGTTGAAGTTTAACAATGAGCAAAGTTGTGAAGTCACCAATGAAACCTTTTAATAAGCTTGCTTTTACTCTTCCTACTTAGAGCCAGGAGATCTAATTAGTCAATCAACTGTGCAGACTTGCTTGATGTCAGAACTTGATCCTGTGGCTATTGTACAGTCATAGACAATTTCTGATTTCTGCAGCATAGCTGCAAATGCAAACCCTGGTCACCCGTTTGATCTTTCTCTCTAAGCATTCATATTCAGAGCATTCTGTGGTAACCATGTAATACACACACAAGGTTAATCCAGCATATGCAGAATCGACTCTTTCTGAGTCACGTGGTACAAAGAATACATAGTGAATGCAAATTCACTATGTGAATAACAAATTAGAATTACTTGTAGAACTTGGTCCTTTTTGAAAATCCCTTCTAAGTCTGCTTGGTCTTACCTTTGTAAGTTAACATGAAGTCATCACACGTGCACATACACATACGCACAGTCTTTCCCTTTCTAATAAGCATGTTGAGAGCTGAAGGGTTTGATCGCTGACATTAAGGTCTTCTCTTGCTCCGGTGCCCAAACCTGAGGGTGCAGAACTCCCAGAGAACCCTGTGTTGCCCCACCGGGGCTGTTTCATGCCTGCGAATCAGCCAGCCTGCCGAGTGCTTGCACCTCTTACCTGCTCCTCCCTGATCTGTCTGGTAGTTGGTAGAGCTTGAGGAACAAGTGCTCTGAGCCAGGAAGCTCTGGGTTTCTGCCCGAAGGGCAGCATCCAGGCCAACAGGCTTATGGATGCTCCATCCCCGCAGGCTTCTTAGGCGTGCAGTCACGTAGAACCTGCAGAGCCTCTAGGCACAGCCCCTGTGGGTACACCAACAGTGAGCCCTCAGCCTATTCCTTGCCTTATTGGTAGAGAGGAGGGGGTACAGGAGAGAAGATAGGCATCCTCTATGGACAGTTAATGAAACTCACTGCATTTCTTTCTTTTTTTTTTTTTTCTTTTTCTTTGCCTCTATTTTTTTTGTCTGGGAATATCCTGATGAATCTTTTTCTTTTTTATTTCATTGTGGTAAGAACACTTAGCATGAACTCTACCCTCCCAACAAATTTTTAAGTATACAATACAGTAGGCCTGGCATGGTGGCTCACACCTGTAATCCCAGCACTTTGGGAGGCTGAGGCGGGCGGATCATGAGGTCAGGAGATCAAGACCATCCTGGGCAACATGGTGAAACCCGTCTCTACTAAAAATACAAAAAAATTAGCTGGATGTGGTGGCACGTGCCTGTAGTCCCAGCTACTCGGGAGGCTGAGGCAGGAGAATCACTTGAACCTGGGAGGCGAAGGTTGCAGTGAGCGGAGATTGTACCGCTGCACTCCAGCCTGGTGACAGAGACTCCATCTCAAAAAACAAAACAAAACAAGCATACAATACAGTATTATTGACTATAGGTACAATGTTGTGCGTTACTTTTTTAACTTTGTGATAAACTTAGTGGCAAAGTCCTTCCAGAAAGTCCTCTGGCTCTGCTGCAGGGAGAGCTTAGAACCAGAGCTCAGTTTAACCTGTTTGCTGAGAACAAGAGGAAGCCCGCCCGGAAGTGGCTTGTAGGAACGAGTTGAGCAGGGTTAGGGGGGAGACTGGGCAGTTTCTCCAGTTTTTGTAAGCTAGTTCTCTACTTACTTACCCTGAAATGTGTTCCAGAAACACTCTCCTCCATTCTCTTATTCACGTGGCAGTGTACAAGCTGTTTAGAGCAAAATATTGATAATTGGGATATTCACTACTGTATGTCCGCATCAGCCATAAATACAGATCACTGGTCACCAGTGCGTGCTCTGTTCCTTTAAAAACTTTTTAAAATTAAATTAGGTAACTAATTAATTTGTAGAGATGGGGGGTCTCCATCTTTTCCAGGTTGGGCTCAGGCAATCTTCCTGCCTCGGCCCTCCAAAGTGCTGAGATTAGACACATAAGCCACCACGCCCCACCTCGCTTTCTTTCTTAAGTTTAGAAAGAAACACTTCTTAGAGAAACAGTTTCTAAAACCAGCCCTGTTTATTCAGCATGGACTCATGAAACCAAATATAACACATGCAGTGTTAATAGGGCTACACGTAATCACTGGGCTACATGGTAGGTAAAAATAACAGATGGTTCATAAAAATGACTCTTTAGGATCACGTTTACAACATACACTTTATTTTTTTAAGTTTTTCCCTTTCAAGAAATTTGTGTTAATACCCGATAGACTTCTCTCACCTTTTATCACTGCAGATATTTAGAGGGTTGGCAGTGTAATGACAAACAGATGAAGAAGTCTATTTGTAGCTCATTTAACCGTAAAAGGAAGGGCGTTTTAATGGAAAACTTAGCTATACCTGATCAGTGGATTGCAGAACTTTGATGAGTGGGAGTCCCAGATGGATTCCTGGTTCCAGGCTCTTTGCCACCTGATCAACCAGAAAAAGGTTTTTTTATTCTTTTGTTGTTGTTGTTGTTTGAGACAGAGTCTTACTCTGTCTCCCAGACTGGAATATCATGATCCCGGCTTGCTGCAGCCTCCGCCTCCCAAGCTCAAACGATTCTCCTGCCTCAGCCTTCCAAGTAGCTGGGATTATAGGCACCCACCACCACGCCCGGGTAATTTTTGTATTTTTAGTAGAGATGGGGTTTCACCATACTGGCCAGGCTGGTTTTGAACTCCTGACCTCAAATGATCCGTCCACCTCAGCCTCCCAAAGTGCTGGGATTACAGGCGTGAGCCACTGCGCCTGGCCAGGTGTTCTTTGTCAGACTGCAAGGACACTTCCAGCAAGAGCAGCCTGGTCCCTGGGGAATGCTCACATTATTCTCCTAGCTTAAGGTGAACGAGCCAATTTCTGGAACTGGATTAGGGAAATGGAACCCCACACAAAGGAGGGGAATGAAGCTGAATGTTTCCCACATCTTTTTCAGATTTACATGAGTCCAGAGGTCATCCTATGCAGGGGCCATTCAACAAAAGCAGACATCTACAGCCTGGGGGCCACGCTCATCCACATGCAGACGGGCACCCCGCCCTGGGTGAAGCGCTACCCTCGCTCAGCCTATCCCTCCTACCTGTACATAGTAAGTGGGGGGGTCAACCAGGGCTAGGGGGGTGAGTTAATGCATGGCGAAGGCTGGGAGGGGCTGCTCTGCCCTCTATACCACCCCCATCTGACTGAGGCAGTGGTGAAATGACAGGTAAGCTAAAGTTCTTCCCACGTAGAAGCAAGCTTCATTCTTACGAAGAAAACAGCTATTTTATTGGGAACTTACTAAAATGTGCATTGGGCATAATTTGTGCTATTCCGCTGTATGTGTAATAATGCAGTACTATTCAGTAGCATCAGAGTAGCATAAATATTTCAGCCAAGGAAGTTGTATATGCTCTTTGAACACTTAAAACAGTTTTGATTATGAATGTTCACACCAGGCTGGCTTGTAGTGGAACAGACAACTCCCATTTTACTGTTGATAAATTCAGAAGCAGACACTTCTCTGTTACTGCATAGTGACTTTTGGGCCGCTGATTGGAAGCTGTCACTGACATTCAAACCTAGCACTTATCTTTTGGAACATTAAACCAGAAGATGGGTTTAATCTCGTATCCTTTAGAAATTAAAGGGGGCCAGGCATGATGGTGTGGTTTCAGCTGCATGGGAGGCTGAGGTCAGAGGATCACTTGAGCCCAGGAGCTCAAGGCTACAGTGAGCTGTGTCCATGCCACTGACACTCCAGCCTGGACGACAGAGCCAAGACCCTGTCTCAAAAGGAAAAGATAAAAGAAATGAAAGGGAAGCTTGCTTGTTTGAGGGCATGAACTGCATTTGTTGCAGGGCGTGTGGTGGGAAACTCATTCCTTTCTAGGTCCTATTACTTTATTTATTTTTTGACACAGAGTTTCGCTCTTGTTGCCCAGGCTGGAGTGCAATGGCACGATCTCAACTCACCACAACCTCCACCTCCCAGGTTTAAGTGATTCTCCTGCCTCAGCCTCCCAAGTAGCTGGGATTATAGGTACCACCTATAGCTGGCATGTGCCACCATGCCCGGCTAATGTTGTATTTTTAGTGGAGATGGGTTTCCTACATGTTGGTCAGGCTAGTCTTGAACTCCCGACCTCAGGTGATCCACCCGCCTTGGCCTTTCAAAGTGCTGAGATTACAGGCGTGAGCCACAGTGCCCAGCCTCTAAGTCCTGTTACTAGTGTGCTTTTGCTGTTGAGGGTGTATCTCCATACTTTTGATGCTAAGAGAGCTGGTTTATTGCTAGATCCACAAGCAAGCGCCTCCACTGGAAGACATCGCAGATGACTGTAGTCCGGGGATGAGAGAGCTGATAGAAGCTGCCCTGGAGAGAAACCCCAATCACCGCCCAAGAGCCGGAGACCTGCTGAAACACGAGGCCCTGAACCCGCCCAGAGAGGATCAGCCGCGCTGTCAGAGTCTGGACTCTGCCCTCTTTGAGCGCAAGAGGCTGCTGAGTAGGAAGGAGCTGGAACTTCCTGAGAACATTGCCGGTAGGGACACCCTGCTGTGTCCGCACCCTTGCTTCCCTTCTCTTTCGGTCCACATCAAACCTCTGATGTAGTTCATGAAAGCAGTTGGAAAAAAAAGAAATGACTTCTTGAGTCCCATATCTTGCTTGAGAAATTCCAGCAAGAAGACGAAAAGAAACATGTTTTGTTTTTAAATTGGCTAATTTAGCACCAAATTATAATAGATTTTCAGTGAGAGTGTAGGTAGCATAGTCATTGGAAGATGCCTCTGACTTGCTTGTTTGCAACACTGGTCTTTGAAAACAAGTTGAACATGACAGCTTTGCTGTTGGTAAAGTCAAGGGTTCTGCTTGATTCACTTTTTCTTTCTTTCTTTCTTTCTTTTTGAGATGGAGTTGCTCTGTCACCCAGGTTGGAGTGCAGTGGCATGATCTTAGGTCACTGCAACCTCCGCCTCCCAGGTTCAAGCGACTCTGTTGCCTCAGCCTCCTGAGTATCTGGGATTACAGGTGCTTGCCACCATATCTGGCTAATTTTTGTGTTTTTCGTGGAGAAGGGGTTTTACAATGTTGGTCAGGCTGATCTTGAACTCCTGACCTCAGGCAATCCACCCTCCTCGGCATCCCAAAGAGCTAGGATTAAAGGCATGAGCCACCACACCCGGCCTAAGTCACATCAAGTGAGTTAGGGAAACAGCATAGCACTGCCCTGCACAGATAAAATACTGAGTTTGAAGTCAATTTACATTTCCATCTTCCTCTGCTTAAAATCTTGCTAGCTGTGAATTTTTTCCACTTAGGAAAGTCAGTATGCATTCCAGGAGCATTGAATATGCAGGGAGAGGGTTTTCCATTTTTATTAAAAATCTATGGTGTTCTTAATCCATTTAGGTCCAAACCCAGATGTCAAGCCTGGCATACTTGTTTATATTTCTTTGCTGCTTGTCTGACTTGTGTGTATTTAAAGAGGACCATCTGACTATTGGAAAAATATGCCAGGATTTCTAACTAATTTCTTGTCTCCATTGACTCCTGTTTGAACTTTTTGGTCTATGTAATGTTTTTTTTTTTTTTTTTTTTTTTGAGATAGAGTCTTGCTCTGTTGCCCAGGCCAGAGTGCAATGGCACTATCTCAGCTCACTGCCACCTCCCCCTCCTGGGTTCAAAAGATTCTCCTGCCTCGGCCTCCTGAGTAGCTGGAATTACAGGCACCCGCCACCACACCCGGCTAATTTTTATATTTTAATAGAGAAGGGGTTTCACCATGTTGGCCAGGCTGGTCTTGAACTCCTGACCTCGTGATCTGCCCACCTTGGCCTCCCAAGGTGTTGAGATTACAGGCATGAGCCATTGTGCCCAGGTGGTTTTATTAGGCCCCAAAGGATTTATTTCTCTGCAGAAGGAACAGTTATTTATTATTTGATATGTTTTCTCATAACTTATTTTTTTTATATTTTCCTTTTCAGATTCCTCATGCACGGGAAGCACCGAGGAGTCTGAGATGCTCAAGAGACAGCGCTCTCTCTACATAGACCTCGGCGCTCTGGCCGGCTACTTCAATCTTGTTCGCGGGCCACCAACGCTTGAGTATGGCTGAAGGACGACATGTTTCTCTAAATTAAGACAGCATTTATCTCCTGGAGGCTGGTTCTGCCACCTCCACACAGGGACCCTGTATAGTGAATTGCACCATTTTTGAAGGAGCAGTGTCACCTCCCATGACCCACGAATGTACCTCCAAGTGGCCCCTGTGTGTTTGACTCGTGAAGCCATCTGGTGTGCACCAGGCCTCAAGGTTCTCATTTCTCAGGTGATGTGATTCCAAGGAAGGAGTTTGAGCGTTCACAGAAGGATCGTGTCTGCTGACTGCTTCATTCACTGTGCACTTTGCTCAAAATTGTAAAAATACCAGTCACAAGGATAATAGGGTCCCTGAAAATCACTGTTCTCGGTTCTTATTTAAGTATGGAATCTTCATTTTACTCGGAATAGTTGTGTTGTGTATATTGATGTATATAACTCTTTGAGTCTTTATTGGTAAATTCTAGTATACATTGAATTTATTATAATTTGGGTGATAGAACAACTTGAATATTGTAGCAATAAGCTGGACTAGTGTCTTAAAAATGGCTAAGTGATGAATTAGAAGCCATCTGAGAGCAGGCCACTAGTGAGAGTTTCTTTTGTGTTCCTATGGAAACATTGTGTACTGTACATGCTATGCTTAAGACATTCAAAACATGTTGTTCTGAATGTGGATAAAAACTGTGTAAACCACATTATTTTGGTACATCCCAAAGGATGAGAATGTGACCTTTAAGAAAAATGAAAACTTTTGTAAATTATTGATGATGCTCCTTTTGTAATTCTTCTGACTCAATTTTCTTTCAAGCATTTGTACATTAAAATAGCATACTATGTATGTGTTATATCAAATGCCTTCATGAATCTCTCATATATATACTTGTAACAGTGTAAAGTATGCAAGTAGTTTTACTTAAAGTATGTTTTTATATTATGCAAATAAAACCCTTTTGTCCAATGTGATTGGTCAAATCAACTGAATAAATTCGGTATTTTGCCTTAGTTATTGTGAAGACTATGATTCTCAACAGGGACTGAGGACAGCCTATAGGAACTGGGATATAGGTTGGAGGGAAATATGTATCATAAGAAGGCAACAAACACCAGGAGCTTTGCAAATTGTATTAATACACTCCTTTTCTTTTTTTAAAAAAAAATATATTTTTCTCTGTTGCCAGGCACCAGGCTGGAGTGCAGTGGCGCCATCTCGCTCACTGCAACTTCCATCTCCCGGGTTCAAGCATTTCTCCTGCCTCAGCCACCCGAGTAGCTGGGACTATAGGCATGTGCCACCATGCCCAGCTAATTTTTGTATTTTAATAGAGACAGGGTTTCACCATGTTGGCCAGGATGGGCTCAATCTCTTGACCTCGTGATTCTCCCACCTCAGCCTCCCAAAGTGTTGGGATTACAGGCGTGAGCCACTGTGCCCGGCCAACACACTCCTTTTCTGTTGTTCTTGTATGAAGCTATTGTCAACTGGAATGGTTTGCATCCCTGTGCTACATCGAGGTAGAAAAAATAATTGTGGCTGTGCCTGTAATTCCAGCACTTTAAGAGGCTGAAGTGGGAAAATTGCTTGAGCCCAGGAATTCAAGACCAGCCTGGCCAACATGGTGAAACCCCATCTCTACAAAAAATACAAAAATTAGCCAGGTGTGGTGGTGCATGCTTGTAGTCCCGGCTGCTCAGGAGGCTGAGAAGGGAGGGTCACTTAAGCCTGGGAGATGAAGGTTGCAGTGAGCCAAGATCACGCCACAGCACTCCAGCGTGGGCAACAGAGGGAGACCTTGTCCCCACTAAAAACAAAATAATAATTGTGAGCCACTGGTTTGGGGTTATGTGCTTCTATCTTGCACCTTGTTTTTATACATTTATACTATCCTTGAATACACGCTTACATGCTCTTTGTCCATTATTATTTGGCAAGCTAATAACTAGCCATTGTAGCAGGTGGCTTTAACTCATGTACATGAAATCTAGTGAAAATTGTTGAATGGAAGTCTACCATCCATGTAGCAAATAGTATCAAACACTTTCACCTGTTTTATGTAAAATATGCCATCCCTTGTAATCCACGTAAACATACATGAAATATGCATTGCTACCTCTTTTTTCTCAGAGAAGGAAATTGAAGCATAGTGAGGGTAAGTAACATTATCCTCAAGACCACAAAGCAAGTGAAGAAATAGCCGGTATTTGAACCCAGTCCTTTCTCCCTCGTATGTTGCTGCTCGTAAGTAAGACATCAACACTGCAGAGGAAACAGGTGCCCCTCTGGTAAGGGCAGAGACAGATTGACCATGAAGCTAACAAAGCTTCAGCCCCAGGGCTCGTCACTTTCAAGGGCCCCACCATAGCTCTGTACCTAATTTTTTTTTAATGTATTTTTTATTTCAATGAGTGGTTTTTAGTTACATGAATGAATGATTAAGTGGTGAAATATAAGACTTTAATGCAACCATCACCCAAATAGTGTATGTTATAACCAATATGTAGTTTTTTTATCCTAACACCCCCCCCCCCTTTTTTTTGAAGCAGAGTCTCACTCTGTCACCCAGGCTAGAGTGCAGTGGCATGATCTTGTCTCCCTCCGTCTCCTAGTTTCAAGCAATTATTGTGCCTCAGCGTTGATAATCCCAGTAGCTGACATTACAGGCGTGCGCCACTATGCCCAGCAAGTTTTTGTATTTTTAGTAGAGATGAGGTTTCACCGTGTTGGCCAGGCTGGTCTTGAACTCCTGACCTCAAATGATCACCTGCCTCGCATTACAGGTGTAAGCCACTGCGCCCAGCCCCACCCTTCCCCATTATGTCACTCTGTATGCTTTTGTGTATTCATAGCCCAGCCTGGGCAATATTGCAAGACTCCACTTCTTAAAAAAAAAAAAATAGCTGGGTGTGATGACTCATGCCTACAGTCCCAGCTACTTGAAAGACTGAGGCAAGTGGATCACTTGAGTCCACGAGATCGAGTCTGCAATGAGCTATGATCATGCCACTGCAACAGAGCAAGACCCTGTCTCTAAAACAAACAACAGCAAGAAAAAACAAAGAAAGCAACTTCCAGCCACCTTGATAATTCCTGCTTCAGGAATTGGATGGAAGCACTGCAGAAGGTATACTGAGCTTTTCCAGCTCATGCCTTAGAGGTGATCTTACTTAAGACCTTTGCAAGATAGATAGGTAGATGAACACGCTCGCTGGAGGCACACAACCAATGTTAGTGCCTCATCTTCTGATGGTCACAATCAGAAGGGGGTGCCCTTTGTGTTTTCCTTGAGGTTTGTAAAATATTCAGAAACAGATGATGGAGACTGTACCAAGAATTTACTGGACCTAATGGGAATTTGCCCAGCCTTGGAGAGATGCTTCTTATCTGAGGATCAGCCAGTGCCCCTTGAGCTAAGCTTCTACAGATGACTGCCATGTCACCAAGCACCACAGTGGGACCCAGAAGGGATTCATTCTGTTGGTCCCCTGGGTTCCTTGTTGATGCTTACTCCCTGTCTGTCAGACACAAGCAATTTGGTCTTTTATTGACAGCAAGTTTCTGTGGTGTAACTCAATGTGAAAGCCACTGTTTTCCGGAGGGCCTGGGGGATTTTTTTCATAGGTCTGCAATGTGATTAGGAGTAAAGACTGCTTCATGCCATTCCCCATGGACAGCCAGGAGGGAATGTGCCCAGCAGGAGAGCAGGCCTACCAATGGAGAGTTGAACTCTTATGGGGACCAACTCTGGGCAAGGAACTGTGCTGGGCCCTGAAGGGAACACAAGTGAGAGAAGGTTCTAGCTCCTCTTACTTAGCCACTCTCTGCTAAAAGGAAGCACGTTCCATTTTGGAATTGTTAGGAGGTTCTTTGATTTCATGTATATTCCCATCTGTCTCCGAAAAGACTTTTTTTCATCAAGTATTTACTTGCAATTTTGCCTTTTGCCTGCGAGCTGGCTTTCTAAATGTCCATTTAATCTCCAACACATAAGAAGATGGTGACTAAAAGAACATGATTTAGGCATCAGCATCAGGTTTCAAAAGCTTACTTTGGGCCAGGTGCAGTGGCTCACACCTGTAATCCCAGCTCATTGGGAGGCCAAGGAGGACGAATCACGTGAGGTCAGGAGTTTGAGACCAGCCTGGCCAACATGGTGAAATCCCATCTCTACTAAAACTACAAAAAGTTATCCAGGTGTGATGGCACAGGCTTATAATTCCAGCTACTTGGGAGGCTGAGGCATGAGAATCACTTGAACCTGGGAGGCAGAGGTTGCAGTAAGCTGAGATCACACCACTGCAGTCATTCCAGCATGGGCAACAAGAGCAAAACTCTGTCTCGATCAATCAATCATCGATAAAAAACTCTGCTTTGAGCTAGAGAGAGGAGAGATGCAAAGTAGTCATTTACCAAGCATTTTTTTTTAAGTTTTTGTCAACTTTGTCTAAGATCAGTTGGCTATAGACATCTAGCTTTATTTCCAGGTTCTCAATTCTGTACCATTATTCTATGCAACTGGTTTTTGTTTGTTTTTATTATTTCTTATTTTATTTTATTTCTTTTTTAGAGATGGGGTCGCACTGTGTTGCCCAGGCTGGAGTGCAGTGGCTATTCACTGGCGGAATCCCACTACTGATCAGCACAGGAGTTTTGACCTGCTCCGTTTCCGACCTGGGCCAGTTCATCCCTCCTTAGGCAACCTCGTGGTCCCCCGCTCCCGGAAGGTCACCATATTGATGCCAAACTTAGTGCAGACCCAATCGGCATAGTGCACTACAGCCCAGAACTCCTGGGCTCAAGAGATCCTCCACATCACCCTCCCGAGTAGCTGAGACTACAGGCATGTGCCACCATGCCTGGCAATGCAAGTTTTTAGAGCAGTACCATGCTGTTTTGATTACTATAGCCTTGTAATATTATTTGAGGTCAGGTAATGTGATGCCTTCAGCTTTGCTCTTTTTCCTTAGGATTGCTTTGGCTATTTGGTGGTTTCCTATAAATATTAGGGGTTTTTTTAAATATGAAAAAAAAATGGTATTTTGAATTACATTAAATCTGTAGATTATAGATTGCTTTGGGCAGTATGGTCATTTTAACAATATTAATTCTTTTGATCTGTGAGCATGGGATATTTTTTCACTTGTTTGTGTCATCTCTGATGTCTTTCAGCAGTGTTTTGTAGTTTTCCTTATAGAGATCTTTCACCTCCTTGGTTAAACCATGCCTAGGTTTGTTTGTTTGTTTGCTTGTTTGTTTGTTTGTTTTGGTAGCTATTGCAAATGAGATTATATTCTCGATTTGGTTCTCAGCTTTATTGTTCCTCTTGTGAAGAAATGGTGCTGATTTTTATACATTTATTTTATATCCTGACACTTTCCTGAATTCATTGATCAAATGGAGGAATTTTTTTGGTGAGCTCTTTAGGGTTTTCCAGGTATAAGATCATATCATCAAGCATTTTGTACTCCTCTGTGAACACCCTCATCAGGGTTTGTGCTCAGCTCTCTCCAGGCAGGGTGTGCAGATTCAAGCGTGGGGCAGAGAGAGAATCATGCTCCTCTTCTCTTGGGTAACGGTCCTTGGCTCCGGGAGCAGCAGCTGCATTTTCAACAACTGGGACTTGGACTACAGATCTCCTCCCACACTGCCTATGTTTAACCTTGATGTGGGAAATCTGTTCTGTCACACTTCAGAATCACAGTGACAGATGACCACTCATAGCCAGCACACAGAAGAACACAGCATGTGCTGCGTTGATTTTCAGGGCTGAGATAAATTCTGAGTACTTAACCAATTTCGAGACATCTGCTTCACCACACATTACAGAACCAAAGGTGATAAGCTGGCTATCTGGCTGCCTGGAGCAGAATCGCTGATTTAATGACATCTTGTTAATCCTGGTGACTGTACAAGGACTCAACTGGAAATACAAATCAATGCATAATCAGTTAAGAGCATAGCAGTCTCTCATTACAGCTGTACACCAAGGTGCCCTAAGCTGGCCTAG